CTCTCTCCTTCTCTCTTTCTCTTTCTCTCTCTCTCTCTCTCTCTCTCTCTCTCTGTCTGCCTATCTCTTGTGCCCAACAAAGGTGGTATCAGCATTTCTTTTCCCGGGGAAATTAATGCAAAACGCTTGTTTCAATGAGAACGGTGCGGCGCGATCTCATATTTATTCGACATTTTCGCGCGACCCTCGCTCCACTCTTTGACTGCGCACTTTGCAGGAAGATACTTCGGGGGATGACGAGAGAAATAGCGGCGGGTAATAGCGCGTGCTTCAAAACGGTAGTTAAAACGAGGCGACGGGCCGTGACACGCAGCGATTGCGTGTGTAGCCGGTTATTGAAATCGACCTTTACCACTTGCGTTTGCTTGCGTAAATGCCGCTATACCTATGTATAAATGCACCAAAATTACTTACGAATTGTTTTATTTTTCTTATATAATCGTATAAATTGTCATCAAAATTTTTTATAAGATGTTTACCTCATATAATCTCTTTCGTTTAAACAAAATTATTTTTTTATACATATATTGTGATAATAATATATAATTTAAAAAATATCATAAATAATAAAAACATTTACAGAGCAACGTGTATCTATAACACAATTTTATCTTATATATATATAAATATTATAATACAGTTCAAGAAATGTTTAGTAAAACGCACTTTAGTAAATACTTTTTAATATTTTAATACACATTATGTTAATTAGTTAAACGTTGATTATTATTAAGATTTATATATTACGATGTGTAGTAGTGCGTGTTAGTAGCAAAGATGAAATTAATTTCATTGAATGCTGATAAAACCAAACGCGAAATTGATCCAATACGTATCACATTAAAAACTTTTATTTTTATATAAGAGAATTACGACGTTTTTTTGAAGAAACGAATCCAACGAAGCGCCAATGCGCCAAACATTCCGTTTTCTCGAATGTGAACTCAAAGCTCTGAAAGGGATCAAAGGCGATCAGCAGCTATATGTCAAAGCAACGATAGAAGCAAGTAAAAAAGAGAGAGAGAGAGAGAGAGAGAGAGAAAGAAATTCTTGCTCAAAAATGTAAGAAATCGAACATGCTCAAGAAGACGGAAGTTGAAGCGAAAAAGGCACTACACGCGTAGACCTTTTACCCTATGTCTCGGAAAAAGAGGAATGAGGGTTGTAAGTCGGCGGGTTTAGAATCGCTGAATAAAGAGCCGAAGGGCTGGAAAGGGTTGGGCGCCAAAGTTGTCCGTGGAAAGCGGTTCGCTCGGCCGCAAACTCGATAAAGTTGCGAGGCGCGGCACTCGTTGTGTATACGGGACGAGACGAGATGGTACAGGACGGGATGCGGGACGGGATGAGACAGGAGGAGGAGCCGTCTCGCACTGCTTCCGCTTCCGGTAGTCGATGGCAGACGCGGAGTTCGCGATAGTGAAGTGGAAGGAACGACCGAGAGAAAATCGGATTTCCTGATGCGCAATACAAGTTTCGCGTCCATCGTCGAGTCTGTTTCACGGACTGTTGTTTCGTCGCGATTAGAAAAAGCGCAAAGCGCGAATACGCGTGAAAAGAAAACGAGAGATAAGTACCATGGAATTTGTCATCCAATAATTTACCGAAAAGAAAGAGCGTGATACTAATACTAGATGGCAAATAGGAATAATTATTTATTCTTGTAATTTATTGTTAATTATCTTAAGAATCGAATCTTCGATTGATATATTAATAAATAATAATTTATTTAAATTTTATTTTATTTTATTTTAAAATACTTTAAAGAATATATCGATATCTCGATTATACAGACAGATTTTAAAACTTAATCCAGAAATGTGCTTTAAGTCTGATTCAATAATGTAATGGTAGACAGTATTAATAGACAGCCGACATAAAATAACAATTATACTAATATGAAATAATAATTGCGACACTTGGTGTGCATTTTATGGCTTTGAACCAACGAAATTATTTCGTTGCATACCTGGCTGAGATGCGTTACGTGACTCGCTGCGTAGTAACTCGCCCTGGAACCGCATGGCCTCGCGTAGAGCGGCTCGAGGTCCGCGATAGTGGCGTAACTTCCGGAATTCGCACTTCCGGGCCGTGGGTCGACTCTAACTAAAACGGAACTCCTGGCCAGGCCACCGGTCTCGGCCGCGGAGTAACTGCAGCAAGGCAGAGTTTTCCTGAAAGGACGAAAGGATCTCTGTAGCGGCGCGATTGTTACACCTAGGTTAATTATCGTTACAATGGCGCGAGAACGCGCTGCCCCGTGAAAGCGGGAGCTCGAGTAATTGTCACGGAACTCCGGATACCGTCGCCGCGGCTAGACGATTTCGTTGAAACAAATTTTAACACGCTGCACCGAGTCTCTTCTACAAATCCGGGAATCCGCCATCGATTTCGGACATCGCCGAGAGAATTATTTCGGTCGACGATCTTGCCGATGAGCTTTCAAGTGGAAGATTACATTTTTTTTTTTTTTTTTTATTTGAGATTCGCGAACATTAATTATCCTCTCATCAGAGTTACATGTAGTCAAGCATCGGAAGAGAGTTATCGGATTTTATAAAGTCCAGTTACAAACTACGGATCATCGTGTCATATGTGATCCAAACATTATTGTTATAATTCGTGTGTAATTATTCAAAAGTGTAATTAAATTTAATATTCACGATTTAAAACTGAAATAATATTTTATTTATTAGGCGATGTATATATAAATTATGTATTCGGAAACATTTATAAAACTTCATAGTTAGGATCAGAAAATCTACACTGTGACCGCTAATTTAACTGCTTTAATTTCGCCTGGGAATCATCACATATTAGGCTCTTTTAGCAAGCTTTTCTCCCGCGAGGCTACTCGGCCAGTAATATGTCGAGGTAAACGTAATACAAATTACAACATCACTTACGAGATAGACGGTCGCTTTATAAAGTCCAATGTATACACTTCTCCCGGCAAAAGATAGAAGAGCGTTAGTAGGAGAGACAGAGAAGAACGCGGTGCATTATCCTATTTCATAAGTATACATCATTCCGCGCCCTGTATACATAACTCTCAACGAGAAATTATCTTCGACAAGAAGTTCCTCGAATATTCATTCTCTATCTCTAGAAAGATTTACATCTCGTCCCGGATAAGCTCCCAAAAAGCTCTAAGTAATCCTCTCTTCCTTTTTGTCTCTTGCGTATCACCGACCATCTTTTCGCGACAAGAAAGGCGCATCAATTTGAATTTAACTCAAAGAGCTTTCTATACTTTCGATTTAATTAATTAACTCTTAAATTCAATATGCTTCTGTTCTCTACTATCGATGTAACTTTATAGTTGTATTCATCTCAACTTGTTTGTTCTTTACTTTTTGTTACGTGTAGTTAACATTGTTTATGAGCAAATACAATGTTAGTATAAACAAAAACATTTAAATTAATAAAAAGTAGTCTAGTTGCCATATTACCACTGGAACAAATATTTTTATAAGTTATTCTTATAAAACTTTAAGTTCCAAGGAAACGTAAAATCTTTATTTGACGGCTTTTATAACTTATATCGAGATTATTTAAAGAAATATCATACGAAAATAAGTCTTATTCATTCTTATTCTGAGATTACAAGATTATACTCGGTTACTAGAGTAAGAATTTTCGAAGCAAGTTATATTAGAATAGGGGGCGAAATTTTCAGAAAGACATAGGGAAAGAAACAGAGGAAGGAACAGAACAGAATGACGACTGAAAAATACCGATGAGAAATAGACGAGAGGATATTTTTAGAGATTTATTGGCCATTTCGTGCATGTAAATCTGCCGCCGAACGTATTCGCTAAAAAGACGAACGACAGAAAAACGCGTCGATTTCAGCCATCGATTTCAAATATCCCCCGTTCGTCGGTCGTTTGTACCCGTTTATTTTTACGCGACTCTTACGGAAACGTTTCGCGGTCAGATCGACTTCCGACGAATCTGTCTGTGCCCGCGAAAGCGAGCCCTCGCCAGGAACAGAAATGTTAAAGTGTCGTTCGGAAAGTAATATCACTTTTATAACTCGAGAGCGAGTATTTGCGCTGAAATTTCCATAGATTGAGAACTTATCGGCGAAACTGACGATGTATTATCAGCTCGAATAAAAGCTATTAACTTTTAATATAATTCAATAAGCTTATATCTACAGAACGCGAATATCTTATATATATATATATATATATATATTTAAATCTGTGAATGATGAATTTTAATTTAAATACAATTTTGTACATATTCACATACATAAATATTCTTAGTATTAAGAGAAAAATTAATGATATACATATATAATTTATATAATTACGGAAAAGCTAATCGACTCGATGTCAAAATGCAAAAATAAATCATGGGAAAAGTTGGAAGACTACAGTAAAGTCCCGATGTGAGTTTCGTGAGTAACGTAAGAACGTATTCCCGAGAAAACTTTTCGCTGCTTACCAAATTTCGAGGGCGCCTTTCGTACATCGTGCAGTTCGATGCAGCAGCAAAAAGGGCTTACGAGATATGAGAAGGTGGCCGTGTTCGTTCGAGCGTACGGATGTAAAATCTGCAGTTTTACACTCGCCGGCGGGGATGTTGGTACGTGGAACGTGGTGGAAACCAGAAGGAAGAAAGGAGGATGGAAAAGAGAGAGAGAAGGAGAGGAAAATCGGGAAAAGTAAAAATCCATTTCTTCGCATGTTATCAGGGGTAGAGAGAGAGCTCAAAAGAGCTAATATATCCCGGGAGAGACAATTGGCTCATGTCGGGAGTAGCGTAAAGAAGAGCGAAAGACGGTATAAAATGAGGGTGCGTCCCTCCCCTGGGTTTCTTATAAAGGCCACTTTGCCATGCGATAAATATTTGATGTCTTCCGATGCGAGATTACGGATGATCGTGTTCGATCGCATTCGCGTCACGCGCTGGCCAATTGCGCGTTGTTTGTTCGAGCGAACATCTGTTGCTTTCTTTTTCCGTATGCTACGGTCAGTGCCACGCTGGGATATTGATTTCAATTCCGCGACAGATATCGCCGTGTAATATTTCAATCTCGTGTAAAATAACGTTGGAGTTAACGTAATATATCTTGCCACGCATTGAGTTTTTATCCGTTTTCAGTCCGTGCAGATCGATGAGAAACAGAAAACTTAAAAGCAATTATAATTTTGTCGAGTGAATATATGAAAGCAACAGATGTACTGAAAAATTTAATGTTCTCGATGACCGAATAATTGGTGAATTTTTTAAATATTATTATCGCGAAAAATTGCGATAAAAATTTCATATAAATATGAAATAAATGTGTAACATAATATTCTGGCATATCAATGTTCATAGAAAGAGTGTCAAATTCCTTGCTTATCACTTAATGAGAAAAATTTGCAATGGAGAATATCAAAAGAGAGCTAATAAATATCTGAGTAAAAGACAATTTTCTCTCTTTGAGACAAACAATAGCGGAAAGAGAAAGAGGCAGTAAAGTGAAGCAAGAGTAGCTTTGTTTCTATTCTAACTCTCTGGCAGTATGATTTCTATCTCGTTCAAGTTCTTCGATTATGCACCTCGAAGTAGAGGCACCGGAATGGAACACTCGATGTGCTAAAGTATAAAATAATTACAGTGAAAGTAACGATCGAACTTTAAAGGTCGCGGATAGAAAGTTTTCGCATAATATTCACCGTTAATGAGGGGAATGGCGCTAAAATACGATCCGCTTCTTGTTTAACGAGAAAAATTCATGATGAGGATTTTCAGAAGGCTCAATATATTCGGACAAAGACAATTGGCTTCAGTCAACGGGAAAATGAGAGGCAATCCTATTAAAGAATAAAGAAGGATATAGAAATATATAAAGATACTTTAACAAGAAAAAAAATTAAACATACAGTTAAAAGTTATTCCGTTAGTTTTATCGTTATATAAAAATTTATGTTTTAGGCGTAAAACGGAAAAGAGATTATATCTTTGTATCTTAAACGAAAAGCGAAATAAAAATTTAACGAGAAACGTCGATGAAGGAATTTACGGAAGTTGAGCAACGTAATGGTAAATCGACGTAAGTTTCAAATTATATAGCCTTATTAATTCGAGAAAATATCGCAATTGAGTCGAGACTTAACTCGACTTCACATACGCGGTAAAGGGCGATCAACAAAAAGATGAACACGAATATGAGAAGAGCGGTAAAAGCGGATCCTCTCGGACCCCTAACATCCTCCTTACATTCTCTCCCGCAGAAGGGAGATCCCCGATACCGAGAAAGGGGGTGCGCATAGCTATGCAATAAAATGTCGGCTGCCGTGCCAAGCGACCGACGGATCACCGGCGGCTTATTGAAAGGATATTTCATTCGGACGAGTTCCTTCCTATCCAGCTTATCCACGCGAATTTCCCGCGGGGGTGCGGAAATCTTTCTGTCGCTCCCCTCTCCCCTCTCCCCTCTCCCTCCGACCGGTTTTGCGGTCGCAGTGCCGACGTCTCTCCTACTCGACAGAAAATTCGCGAACGTCGTGGAAACTCGCGTCCGCGAATACTTCTCGCTCGAGTGACTCGCCGAAAATGAGAACGCGCCCGCCGGCACGTGAAAAGCTGCATTTACGACACGTCTTACGACGACATCTTACGTAATGAAAATCTTTTGCTCGAACACCAAATCTATTTTCCCGCGGTGGGACCAAGCGCAATCTTTAGAAACGCGAATTTAATAAGCGACAGAACGAGAAGCCGGCTGGCGCGTCCACGTTATTCCTCCGTGAGATGAACGTCGCTTAAAAAATCGCTCCGTATCGCTGACGTATTTTTGTGAATGTATTTCTATCTTGTTGCTTGTTTTATTACCGCATTTTTAATAAAATGCGTTTTGTTGAGTAATTCTAACGAAGCGAAGATTAAGAGGAATTTGCAGAAATGGACTTGGAAAGCCGTTTAGCGCTCACTTACGTCTCAGATCTTGTTCTTAGATTTCCCTCTCTTTTTAAGTTGACACTTTAAATGTAGAAGTGGTGGGAAATAAAGGCGCAATTATATTTAACACTCATGTCAGTATTCTATCATATTAATTCTTGTCAACCAAATATAAATATCTATTTATATAAAATTTTACTCACTGCGATTCTTGAACGCGAGCTTTGCTATTGCGGATGTACAATGCGCTTGCGACACTGCCGACGACCAAAATTAAGGCGAAAGCACAGATAGCCGCGATGTAAAGTGCACTGGCGTCATTGACGAACGGATCGGGCTCCAAACGTACCGAATCATTACTGGGAGGAGTCTCAACACCTGCCAATATAAATCAGTTCATTAGTACGTATACCTTTAAACATATTCGATATCTTCACGCAGTCTTATTAATAAAATTAATGGACCATGCATTCGAGAAAAGAATTTTGTTGTTATAAATAAATTTAAGATAATTCCATTAATTTTGACAAAATAAAATCGGTTTCATTTTTTCCGAGAATAAATTTGTCAGCGTGATGAACGTCAACTAAAGTACATCTCTCGTGCTTCAATTTTGCAGAGCACTCTACAGTAAACAAAGCATATGGCATATAAACAATGTATAATTTAATTTCATTTTAATTTTATTCTATTTTCAATTACAAAAAAAAAAAAAAAAGAAAAAAGAAAAAAAAACCCCGTTGATATCCAATTCATGTACCCCCTTCACATTTTATTCGACGGTTACATTTTTATATTCGTACTCGATCTATGTGGAAAGTTCGCATAACCGCCATTATAGTATCGGCAATCTATTTTGTCAATTGGAGCATTTCCACTCAAACCACGTGCTCGAGATCCGAATCTATTGAGAAGCTCTTGGACGCGAATCGAACCATTGTTTATACGTATCGCGGTATCGAACGGCCGGGAATATCGACGAGCTATGGAAAATGCTCAAAGAGATCTCACTTTGATGATGGATCATTGCCCGCAAACCACCAAATTTTCCAGCAAGCACAGCCGCTATTGCAACTTTATTTGATTTAACTTTTACCTTTAAGTTAATTTTTCATACGTCACGATGATCTCGTGTTACACATTGCTAATCATTACATCATTATTCTTTATTACATGTTTATTGCTTTCTTGAACTGCAAACTTGGTATTTAATTTATATTTGGAATATTTCTTCAAATTCAGCACTTTATTATTTTACATCGAATTTCGTGAATTCGAGTTTTGATCACTAAAATCTGTAGATTATTTTTTTCCAAGTTCATTCATATTATTAGGCAATCAGACTCGACTACGAATTACAGTCTGATAATTTTCCGTAATTTTCGTCGAAACGTTGCTTTATTAAAATGCACGTCTCACAAGAAATCTCGACGAATTAGTCAAACCCAGTTGGCGTTTCCCTCGTTCCTCGCGGGAAGCGCGCCTTGAAAGGACGAGTTTGTCGAGACTTTTCTTTCGCCTGCGCCGCGTTTACATTTTCCCGCTGGTACCTCGCTTTTTGATATTTCTTTTCTCTCTATCCTTTCGTGCGTTGTGAGAAGAAAAGACTTGGGTCGAACGGGCGGCGTCTTGTCGTCTCTTATAAAGGTAAATAACGTAGCCTAGACGGAGGAACTTTAGCACGAGAGCTCAAAAGCTTTCAAGAACCGAGCACGTCAGCCTCGACTAGGATATGCCGAGGAAAGGGACGCATCCTTTCGGAGCGTCATGATAAAATTAAGTAAACTCCATCAACTCTTAACTCGTCCCTGAGATTATAGCGTCGTATAATCCCTAAATGCATTCCTTCATCGGCACTGCTCGCCTGAAATCTAAAACAACTCTTGATTCTCCGGTCTCATCTTCTTACGTGCATCATAAACGACTAAGATCATCGTTATCACATTTTGTTTCCCTTTTCGCTTACAACTCTAGCTCCTAAGTAATTATTTCTAATGCAAATCACATCGTAAAACCGATCGTATTTTTGTATACACACTTTAACGGATTAGTTATATCTCTCTTTCTACTTAGATAAAAATAGAAAGTTTAGTTCCAAGTCTTTGAAACTAATTATAACTTTTGCCCTGCTCCATACAATTAAGACCGAATGTATGAGAGGTATTTTAAAATTGTAGCAAATATTGACGCTTTTAAAACTTTTTTCATTTCATCAAATTGCAATTCTTTATTGATTAAAGCCTTGTTACCGAGACTTAATAGCAGAGACACATACGCTTATGGTTTTTCTCTCTATATTTATTTGAAAGCCAGTGCTTTTTGTTGCAGAGCAATCTCATTCGAGTAAGTAACATTAACGTTGGTTACGAAAATAAAAAAGAATGCCAGGACGTACTCTCTGAAATGTTCATTAAGCCGCAGGTCGTAGTACATTAAAAATACGCATTGCTTTTGCGGCATGAGAAAAATCCACCTCGAACATTAAGATTTGTCAACATTATGCACACAATCATCATAAAATTTTTGTTATCAAGAAAGAGATTAAGAAAATTAAATAATCTCTTGATAGCTTTATTAAATTACAACTAACGAGATTGTCACTGCATTTAAAAAAAAAAAGATTTTTATATAAATTTTTTAAAAATTTACTTTAACTGACATGTCATGTGTTATTATTCAATGATATTAATAGAATGTAGAACGTTATTCTTTTATCATACGGGAAATAATTATTAACGTTTAAATAAATGCTAAAAATTTTTATAATATGCGCTACTCGATGAAAAATATAAAATTATTTAAATGTAACACATAATCCGTGGACGGAATTAATGCCCGACACAGATTGTTTTTATCCTATTGGTCATAAAAAACGTAAAAATAAACGTAACAATACATTATGTGTTACATTTTGTAAAATAATATTGTATTAAATTGTACGTGTATCGTGTGACTCTCGAAGAAACTGATAATATTATGAAAATAATGAAACGGAATATTACGGAATCTGACGTAATTGTAATTCTAGCGAAGAAATTGTAACAGAAATCTCTCGGAGATATCTGTTTGTATTTCGGACGCGTCGTAGCGTGTGAGAGGAACGTTTTAGGAAGACGGAAGGACTCCGCGCAAAGGAACGATGTGCGAGTTTCGTCCTCGAGAAGCTGTAGCCCAGCACCAGAAGACGGCTACGATTTATTTAACTTTTTCTTCCCGCTGCTTCCTGCGCACGTCTCATCGCGCTCGAGCAAACTCCTTCTCGTCTTCGTAACTCGTGTTCGCGATGCTCTACTTCGGCTATCACGCGACCTCCTTGGTTTACGTTATCTTGGCAAAGGCAAGAAGCCTGTTTCCTTCTTTTATGAAACGAGGAAATGAACGAGGAGGAAAAAAAAGAGAAGTTAAATATCATGGTTTATCACAGCCAGCAACGTATTTATTAAACTGGAAAACAGTATTTACAATTTTATATAAAAATATAAAAAAAAGCAGTATAATAGCATGATAAATGAAATCCAAATTAAAAAGGGTATTTATTGTGTGATTATTTATTTAAATGTCCAAATATCAAAGTTTTTGAGCTACGAAATGTGAATAATGAAAAAGTATGAAATATCGAAAGGAGAAAACGTATAAAGTCACATATTATTTAGCTTTATTACGACGAAAGAATTAATCGACAATTTAATATATAGAGATTACTGCAAGATATTTCATAATGTAAAATTAAATTCTACATTACTTTTACACAGTGTTGTGTGTTCTACATTTTATCAGCATTATTGGATATTAATACGAAACATATTAACTAAAGTATATAATATATTTTAAAAATTAATTTAAATTTTAATAATAATAATAATTGTAATCTTAAACTTTTCACAAGATATAGTAAATAATAGATTTCATAAAAAAATCAATGTCATGCTCAATTAAGATTAAATGTATTCGCCATTTAGTCAAGGCAATATTTGAAGCGCGTGTAAGCAAATGTTATAATACTTAATATAAAGAAAATATTAAAAAAATATTAAAAAATAAAATATTAAAATATTAAAAAATGAAAATATTAAAAAAATAAGTAAAAATAGAAAAATTTTAAATCTCTCTAAAATTTATTTTGATGAAAAAAAATAACAAAAGATATAGAAAGAACGATAAATTTCATTAAAAAAGGAAAACTTTCTATTAAAATTCTCCTCATTTTTCAAACGCTTAATTTCTTTTCGATTATTTAAAAATATACTTGAATTTTTCTCACAAATTAATCTAATACGATGTGATTAGTTAAGAATTATATTACACATCTTTTAACGCGTTCACTTCATTTCGATGTTCCGAAGCTGTAATAATGAGATAAATCGATCATGTTGCTCGAAGAACAGTGAAGTACCTATCGACGTAACTTATCGGCGACGCGCGCTCCCGAAACTTAGGGACTTAAGAGCAACTGCAGAGTCAGGAAGGCGTGTTAAGAGCGACTGCGTATCTCAATTAAATCCAGGCGAGCTATGCTATCTGCTACCATCAAACAGACCTTAACCGAGATTTACGGAGGCCCAGAATTAAGTCTCTAGAGGATTAACAGGACAACCTTCCACGAATCGCATTCTCTCGTGAGCTCTGTGGACGTTTCGTCGCGAGCTCTGTGGACGTTTCGTCGCGAGCTCTGTGGACTTTAGAAACAAATTTGGTCGTGCTGAGAGGCTTACGTAAATCATGGAATTACATCTTTGGCGTACCGATATGCTTATTTTATTTTGCATAATAAAAAAACGTTCAACGTTGAGATCAGTTCACAGGAAAAGGAGAGCTTTGCGCTCATACATGTTGAATATTTAAAGCTCAGGAGCATATCAAATAAAATTTTTATCAGCACCATTTTTGTCCCAAATATTTTTTTCTCGATACCTACTCTTCATGTAGTACATATTCACATATGCATTCTTGCGAGTATACTCGATAATTCAAAATGTCAATATTTTTCAAATATATTCGACATGAAAAGTAATTTGAATATTTGAAAACAATGTAAAAATCTGAAAAAAAAAATCTAAAAAATAGTGATTGCGCCGTTTTATGCGAAAAAAAATATAGCGAATGCACATTGAAGTGATCGAAAATTGGAATTGCAGATACTAAAGTAGCTAGAGATCGAGGAGAAAGCATCGATGTATAGATTATCGAATTTTTTTTTTTTCAATTTGACAGCAGACTTCCAATATACGTGGTCTTCTATGCGAACATCGAGTATAGGAAGCTCCATGTAGAGAATTCGATTATTTTCGAGTGATCTCGAGGTGTTTTTCAGATTGCAGCAGGACCTCTCGAGCTTGAAACGATCGCCGGAGGATTCGTCAGTGCCCTTGACAGATCCTTTGGCGATATGGGAGCGGAAGACGAGGAAGAAGCAAATTCGACAAAGCAGGAAATCTGCTCTTCAGGACGCGACTAAGGTCTTCACCGCGGAGACGCTTACTTATTTTCGTCCTTCTTCCTGCCTTCTCGCGTACCTACTTGTCCACCTACTTCGTTTTTCTCCGCGGCCGACCCTCTTGATCTTCGGTGTGGGAGGAATCCTCTGCCTTCTCTTCTCTTTCATTAAATACACCGACCCCCGGCGAGATTCAATTTTACTCGGCGGATTGCTTTTTGTTGTATCGTCGCCCGCTTCGGTAACCGGATCCGGATCTACGCTTCTTTCTTTCTTTCTTTCTCTCTTTCCGTCTTCTTTGCTCTTTCTTTCTCTTTTTTTTTTTTATCTCTTTTTCTCTGTCGTCGCAATTCTCTGCCGTCGAATCGTTTTCTGTATATCGTGTAAACGCATATTTTCTGACACAAGTTTCACAAGTATTCAGTTTCACTTTGACATATGGCATCTTAAAATGAACATTTGCCAAGTTTCATGATAATCGTGTTTAATATAATATAATTAATATATACAGTATTAATAGGCAATATCAAGCACAAGCATATATAAAATAACAATAAAATTCTACAATGCTTTTGATTGTGTATTTTAATATTATTTTTAAGAGAACTCAGAATATGAATTCTCAAAAAACTATTTTCAACCTCAAATTTGAAGTTTTTGTTTTTTTACCTGTTTTATTCAACGAGATTCTTTTGTATTCTTTTGTAGGAAATCAGTTTTTATTTTCTTCTCAATTTAAAAAAGAAAATAGATGGAAAAATAAATAACATGACTACGTCACGTGTGGTTCCAATTTAGTTCGCGGGACTTTTATTTACCAAAAGCATGAAAAACTCGCTTTAGTTACACAAAATCTGTATGGAGTATTGGCAAACTATTATGGCGCGTGGGGGACGAAAATCGAGGCTATTTGCCAGATTGCATTCATCGTTGCCGCGTGGTTTGTTTTTTTAGAAAACATACGTTTTCGAGGTCGCATGAGGTTTGCGGAGTCGAGAGAACCGTCTGTGAAGTACCATGAGTACAAGCTTACGAGCACCCTTGTCGGAAGTGGCGCGGAAATTACGTTTGTACCCTCACCCAAGTGCGTTATTTCCATTTCTGTCGTATAACGTTAACTGCGCGCGCGCGCGCGCGCGCGCGCGCGTGTGTGTGTGTGTGTGTGTGTGTGTGTGTGTGTGTATATATATATATATATAATTTCACTATTTACATATAATTATTCAAACAACCGTATTCTATATTACATTAATAATATAACGCTTACTTTAAGCATTCAGGAATATACAAGATTTCAAGATCATTACTACCGTTTGTTGTAAAATAAATTAATACTTTAAAATCATAATCATAAATAATAATATCAATCTACGATTGGTATCAATAAAAAATTTATACCGCGCATTTAATGTTTATACATTCGATGGTAACGTTAAATGGCAATGCTTGAGATTTATTTTGATAAAGCTCGACGTTTCGGTTTATTTCAATATGATTAACTCGCAGTAACTTTTTTTCGCTTTCAAAAATTGTCTCGGTTATTGTTATTCTTTTCAACGTTATGAACGTTTAATATCACGACGTCAGAGATATCAGTCCAAAGCAGAGTCCATAAATTGCGTAGATAAATTGAGTTTGCGCGTGACACGAAATGAATGCGCGTTTCTGTTTTAATCGCGACCATGTCGAAACTGTCGCCGTAACGAAGATATTCAGCCAGGTTCGCGAACGTGCTAATTAAATTCGAGATTACGTAAACGAAATAATTATCAGCCGACTGCAATGGCGTTAAAATGGATATAGATAAACAAAAGCGCATTTCAGCGCGAACCGCTTGCACCGCAGAACATGCACAAGTAACGTATGTTATGTAGATTACAAAGCTTAAATAGTATTACCCTTTGAAATGGATCTTCATATAATACACTGTACATCAATATCGCCATTGAAAATAACAAGGTATAGAAATCCGCAAGCCAACTTGATATTGTAACCATTAATCAACATTCATGTTTCATGAATTATTAAAAAATTTACTTGATTTATACAATTTTGCATATCGTATTAAAACAAAATTTATTCATTAATTAAGGGGGGGAAAAGAGAGTTATAGCTATGAAATGAATATAAATCTGAAAGAGCGAGAAGGAAGAGAGAGAGAGAGAGAGAGAGAGAGAGAGAGAGAGAGAGAGAAAGTTGGATAAACATTATTCAGAATTGAAGGGGAATTACAATTTTAATTACGCCGGTAAAAACGCTACTAAACGGAAGAGTTAAATAATTCACACTTTAGCATTTTCATATTTTAAGTGCGACAAACAGCGCGCGTTGTCATGATTTTTTTCAGGTATTCTGAATAAAACAAGCGAAAGAAGAAAAACTCTGCATTATTTCAACAAGAAAAAAGAACTCTAGGAAATCTAGGATCCGGATCTACTTGTCGGTTAATGCGGAGCTGCCATGAGAATCGCGGGATTTCAGACCGCACTAAATTTCATGCGCGAGAATAATGAAATGGGAATACCGCTTTTTTTCATGTATGAGAATAATAAAAGCGTGATTAGCCATGTCGCGACGTTTTTCAAAATTAGCATAGCGATTTCTCGCCAGCTGGTGCACGCACAAGTGTCACGCGCGCAAGAACTCACCTCTGATTTTTTTAAATACTTGCACGCACCTTTCAAGCAGATCTTGTTTCTCTTGAAGACCAAGATGGTGTCGTTGTATCTAGTGCCGGGCGGCGCCGTGACATTCAATCTGAGCGCCAGGGGAATTTCGGCGCTAACAACACCCGAGCATGGCAATCTGATCCTGAAGACCTGCAGGGTGACTGGTACCTCGCCTCTGGCAGACACGTTTACCTTCGGTGGTAGTAACGCCATCATTCCGGAAGATGGTCCACCCAGCACGCCCACCACGTCATAATCCAGCTCCATCGAATACGGCAACTGGAAGAAAGGACGTACCTCAACGAATTTCATCGCTCGACAGACGAAGAATCTTACGTCGTGCTGCTGCGAAATTGTTACAAATCGCTTCTCGTAGATATAACAGTAATTCTTGGCATGGACAAATTTCTAAGAAATTTCGTTTACGCTCGTGTTTCAACGCAAACTTGCCCTCTCGCTAGCCGATATTTCGTACTGGGGAAGTATTCCGGCTAGTCGTCCGCCGGCACGTAATAAAAATAGCGCGCGGTGCCCATAATTCATGAAAATGCCAGACTCGCGGTCCCTTCTCGCGGCCGCCGCATATACGATTGCGCATATTAACGTTATAGATATATGAATATATATCGCCGCCGTATCGGCCGGCATGCGCGATATTTCACATTAAATCCCACGCGTCGGTCTATTTACTGCCGCCTATCTCGTAACTTTCGAGGCCGAGTCGAGCTAAGAGCGCACCATCGAAGTAGGCAGTCCGCGCGCGATCCTGGAAGGCACGACTGCATTCCCACTCCCCCCTCCCCCCGCCCCTTCCTCCTTGTTCTGTCATTCGAGATTGGCCTCCGTACGACGGGAGGGGGAGGGGGGAGGCAGGAGGACGGGACGGTGGTAGCGACTACTGTGTTCAGGCACGCCACAAGTTTTACGAGGTGGCATAAATAATCTGGTTAGTGCTTCGTGATGCGGTGTCAACGGAAAGGCGACTCCACCCCACCCGCGAGCACACACCGCCGGCTCTTCTACGGGTAATCGTCGTAATCGTCGCGCCGGGGGGTCGTGGTGGCGTGACACCTGCCTATCGTATTCCCGTATTGTTGGCATACCTCGAGATCTCTCCTTTCCCCCCCCCCCCCTCCGCTCCCTCTTACTCTCCGGGCATTTATTATTTTTTTCTTTTTCCACTCCACGCAAATCACGCGGACATTGTGAACGAGACGAATGGACCGTGCACGGCCGTACGCAC